GAATACAGACTATATAGACTCATAATAGGACCGACTGCAATACCATGAGCTCCCACTGGCTTTGGTGGGATTAATCCTGTAAATTCCTATTCAGCACAAATAAGCATATCACATTTTGCGCCCGTGAGACTGGCGCTTTGCTCTGCAAAGCATCGTTGCTTTAATGAGGACTAGTCCATAGATAACGCACGGCTCATTGTCAGCAAGGGTGGTAACGTTTGCTCATAAACGGACAGTTGGCACAGGTAGTATATCTTCATACACAGGCTTCCCTGGGTTACTCTGATTTCCCCATGCAGTCTGCCGGTAAAATAAATTCACATTCTCTGTTCTTGTTGTAAACACTGCTGTAAGGAGGACAAGAACGGCACTTCTGCTTTGAAACGGAGGTCTATAATTGTGCGCACACATGTAGACTCATGCATACCTCTTTAGAGATGTGAACTGAAGTTCTTGTGTGTGTGTGTGTGTGTGTGTGTGTGTATACACACACACACACACACACACACACACACGATAATTCTTCCCTTCTTCCACCAGGGTTGGACAATCTGTAATCACAAACCCACTTGAGCTGTTAGCAGCTCCTTTAAACAGGGATTTTGTCTGTTTAGGCTGCATGTCCTACTGAAGAGCAGATGGTTTTTGTTATTGGGTCGTATTTCAAAGGGAAGGATTTTCCTCCGGTTTTAATGCCCCCATTGTTGTGTTTTATTGAATTACGAGATCCTGGCGCTCTGAACATGTGAACAGCACCCTCCCAGGCAGCAGGAGGCTGGGAGAAAGCGGATTTCCTCCTCCACACACACTCCTCCCTTTCTTTCGTTTTGTTCTGGCTTGGTAAAGGTCCAGATTTGTACCGGCCAGAGCAGTGGTTCTCAACTTGGCCCCGCTTGCAAACTGCCAGCTTTTAGCTTCCACTCGGTTTTTGACTATAGAAAAACAACAGAGCAATTCTTCTGTTGCAAAGGGCTCAAAAAGACCCCACAGGAGGTCTGAAGGTTGCTGACTCTGGATTCCTAGTTGAAATCTCAGGGTTATCTTGTGAATCGTGCGTAGGTGACTTCACACCTAACGGTGCTAATATTGCACAGGATTTGAGACGTGAGGCCACGGCATCTTGCTTGAGGATCACTGGCAGATGGAAGGGTCTATCGGGCAGTGCACTGGGCTGGGTCTTAAGGGCACGTCTACATGTACACTTTAATGTGCATTAGTCTATTTGAATGCTCATTAAAGCATCATGTAAAAAAAGTGCTTTTTACTTAAGGAGCATTAAAGTAAGCGAATGCACATTAAGCATCACTTAAAAGCATGCACTTTACTTACGCCAGGCAAATGCACATTTTCCTAGTAGCTCACGATGGAGGTACTAGATTTAATGCTCATTAACTAAAGCGCATTAATGCACATGTAGACATGCCCTAAGACACTGAGGCTCGTTCCCAGCTCTGGTACTACAGACCTGCACCGGGCAAGCAACTACATCTTTCCCTGCCTTTCTCCTCCCACCTTGTGCTGCCTTTGGTTGTAAGTGCTACAGGGCAAACCCTCCCTAGGACATCTCGTGCGTTGGGGCTAGGTAATCTCAGTACTGTTCAACGCTACTCTGATACAGATCATTATGAGCAGAATGATGTGGAGGGACTCTGTCAGCTCTCCCCCATGCTTCCTGAAAAAGTTCACAGAAGCCAGTAAGCTCAGCGCCTTAGAGCCTGATGGGCTGGTGCGAGAAGTTGGTGGTTTCTTTGTAGGTGGGTCTAATTAGCCACGTCTCCGTTCCCAGGTCCCTGGGTGATAAAACATCAGCAGCAGAGATGGAACTGATATCTCTGAGGCAACGAGCAATGCATTTCCCCTTAGTGCCCGAACCCCTGGCCTCAGTTTGCTTGTGTGGGCACATGCTAAACGTCCCCCCAACCATGCACCGTGTCTCCTAAGATGCATGTCTAGCCTGGGAAGGTCACACAAAGGTGGGGGGCAATGCCAGGTAGTGCATGGTACAGTTGATCTTGCTCCTAAAGTTTCTCAGAGAGAGGGGATCCATCCCAGAAGCTTCTCTAAACCTCCTCCTTCATGGTGCCTCCAGCTAAGTGCTCTTTTCTTTGCAGCCCAACGACCCGGTAACCAACATATGCCAAGCAGCGGACAAACAGCTCTTCACCTTGGTGGAATGGGCAAAGAGAATCCCCCACTTCTCGGAGCTGCCGCTGGATGACCAGGTCATTTTGCTCAGAGCAGGTGAGTCCTCACTGGGAAGGTATAGGAGGGAGATCTTATCAAGACAGGTCAGGGTAGGTGGTACCCTCTTCTGGGGATGGGTATTAGGTTTCTATCAAGTACAATACAGCTAGAAGGTCACCAGTTACTTCTGAGTTATAGCCTCTGATCATTCAGTTGCCAGGTAGAATTTGAAAAGCCTCAAGAGACACATCACCGAGCACGGTCCAAAACGTTGAGCCAGCTGCAAATCGGTCCATTTAATCTGTGATGATAGGCAATTGCAGAGGCGACTCTAGCAGAAGTTTGATGGGCTGTTAAAATCCGAAGGGACCGTGTAATAATACCTTCCCTCTCGCTCTGCAACTTGAAAGAGATCGGGTTTGGGATTTTTGTGAAATTTCATGAAATGGTATATTTGGTCATAATGAGAAACAGAAATGGGGAAAATACGACCCTTCCTTCCCCACCCACCCAGATGAAAAAATAACAGTCTGTAGGCTCACGCTGAATTTCCTTTTGCCACAGGGGACCTGTCGATAGGGGCTTCAGGGGATCAAAAGCAGCTAGGTGTGAAAAATGCCTTGTTCCATTAAGCACATTTCAGCCCAAACGCTAGAAGCTGTGCACAAAAGAGTGGAAGGGGCGAGATTCGAGAAGTGAGAACTTGAATGAGTGTGGGCTTGGGTACGAAACTTTGTGAAAACCGATCAAAGAGGATTCAGCTCGTTCCCCCGGAGTAGTTTGCCTGCTTACAAAAGTGGAAGCCCGATTCTTTGTGAGTGTGTTACGTTATTAAAACTGCTTCCCGAAAAGGATGACCTTGGAAGAAGAATGCCATAATTCATAGGTCTGCACTGTGCACTTTAGTGCTTGGTAAATCAGAGCTCTGGTGTACTGGTGAGGTATAGTGCTCCAGGGGGATGTCTTGGGGTTACAGCACAAGGCAGGGACTCAGGATACCTGGTGTCCATGCCTGGGATCGTTGTGCGACCTTAGTCACTCTGCACCTCAGTTGCTCATCTGTAAAATGGACATAATGCTTCTTTTGCCTTGTCTGTTAAGACTGTAAATTCTCTGTATGTGCACAAACAGTGCCTTGCATAGTGGGCCTCCACTCAGCTAGGGTTTCTAGCTGCCAAAGAAATGTCTTCAAATAATATCTGGAGGACTGAGTTAGAAATTTTGCATGGTCTTCAAAATGCAGTCGCTAGGAAAGCCAGGGAACTGGAAGGCATGGGGTCCTTGCTTAGCTATGCAATGCTCTGCATCCTGGTCACATGGAGTACAGACCAGGATTAAGCATACAAGCACTGAGGACAAATGTTCTCTCAATCAGGGGGACCCAGCTGTGGACTGGGCTTCCAGAGGAGGTGATGTGTCCCAGAGTGCGACAGTCTCCGCCAGGAGATGCTGCATTATTGTCTGCCTCAAAAAATAACCTTTCACCAAAGGGAGAATGACACAATTAATACACAGCAATGCAGAGAAATACCAGGAAAGTTTTTATCTCCAAGAAGGGAGAAGAGCCAAAGACTCAATGAAGTCGATGAAGGGAGTTGCTGTTGAATTTACACGGAAGGCATCCTTTTCTATAGTTATAACAAGGGATGGTTTCCAGAGTTTTAGCCATCCATTCATTTCTAGCTCTTTTCCACTGCTTTTTTTCACCTCCCCAAAGTGTATTTTTGTAGAAAAACCTCAGTATTAAGCGCCTGATTGTCCCCCCCGCCCCCCTGCATTCTTCTGATCTTACTTGGAAAGGACCCGGTCACTATAGACAGGACATTGCTTAGGTTGGGGAAGTCAAGTTAGCAATCGGTCTTCACTGTCGCATTTCAGATTTCTTAGGACTTTGAAAACTTCTCAACAACTCCAAAATATGCACTACTACAACCCTGGTGCTGTTGTGGACCATGCTCAAGCATGCATTTGTTAGCTGTTAGGAGCTCAGAAACTATTCAGACCTGAGCCCCACATCCAGCGGCCAAACCCAGAGAAAGATGTAAACACCGTGGAGTAGACAGGGGCGGGATAATCCAGGTCTCAACTCGGAGAGGTCATTTTGAGCCATGATGCACAAAAGCAGATGGCCCTTGCACTCTCTGGGGATGCACAGACATGTCCGCTCCCCCTGTGGCACCCTGCTAAATTCTTGGCTTCCGTGACTCCCTACAGCAACAAGCGCCACGTTTTACTCGTGCATGCGGAGACAGCATTTCCTTCTATCGGTTTTGAATTTCCTCTCTTTTCACTGCAAGTTAATTCTCATTGTCACAGCAAGTCACATGCCTTGTTGGTGGTTATAGCTGTAGTCTGGGAATCAGGACTCCGGGGTTGTATTTCTAGCTCCGTCACTTGCTCTTGATCTTGGGCGGATCACATGACCTCTCCTTGCGCCGCCACCGCCGCTGTGATGATAATACTTCCCCTTGTTTTCAGGGGTGTTTGAGGACTTAATAAAGCCGCGTTCGCAAAGCCTTCTATGGAACCAGCAAACAGTTATTTCTGAAGAGCACTCCCCAAGCATCAAGCTGGAGAAGCGTTTGGGGTTAAAAAAACCCCACAAACCCCCAAAACAACTAGGCAAATGGGATCAAAATGGGATCTCTGTACAAATATACCCCAGAGGAGACGAGTTGAATCCAGGCAAGGAACAACTGTTGTATTGATTTAAAAAAAAAACAAAATCATTACTATGGTTTTAGATTCTGTCAAACCAGCCTGATAGGAAGAGAACCCAAATATTAGGTCCAAGTTCCCTGATGGTGACCCTAACCTTGCTGGTGCATTGCCTTTTTCAATAAACACGACTCTCTCATTTATTCTGGTGCGATTCAGGAACGACGTCCTCAGGGTTAAAATGCAAGCCACGCCAGATTCAGGTCCATTTGCAGTGGATCTCCTTTCCCTCCCGCCTCCCCTCGATCATCCTGTCCCAGTGCCTTGGGGGAGCCTTGTTGAGTGTGTCCGCTCCAACGTGTTGAATTTTGCACGGGCTGCTCCAGGAGGCAAAGCCAAAGCAGGCTGCGATCTCCGTAGCATCATTATTTCTGCTACAGCTCTGACCTTTGGCATTGCTGTACCGTATCCTAATGGCGTGCTCACGAGGCCGGTCCTACCGAGGAAGGCCAAGTGTTGGGATCTGGAAGAGACAGCACCGGGACTAACGCCGACGGAAGCAAAACTCCAAGTGTCTCTATCAAGCGGGGCCTCAGATAACCTCCCTGAAGTCTTTTAACCAGTGGCTTTATCTATTATTGAGTGTAGAGCGCGGTCTGTTGAGAACAGCTGCCCATGAAATATTCAAGTATTAAAATTTATCTAAGAGCG